TCACCAATGCTCTGGTTGACCCCACTCTCCCCCAATGTCATGAGTCAAAATGTTTAGTTACATTTTGACTTCATACCTGGGGTCTGCCAGGTGCCACTTCACACCTACTTTATGCCAAAAAATTTCATCATTGAAATGAGCCAGGTAGTACGAGGCTTAACTCATTGGCTGAGAGTGATTAGCTGATGCAGGACTTAGCTCCACAGTGCCAATAGAAACGTATGCTTAGGAGCTTCTGGGTCTCCTTCCGGCAGAGAGTAGTTAAGGAGGGGGCCAGGCAGACCTACATTGAGGGGCACTCCTGCCACCATAACCACTACAGTGCCATGCAGTGGTTATAGTACTCATAGTATTCCTTTTAGACTGATTTCTCCTCCTGTGATAGGGCCATGAAACGCTATTGGAAGTACGATAGTTGTTGACAATACCTTTTGCAGGGCTTATATATTTTGTTAAAAGATCTCTCTTTTAGTCTGTTGGCCAAAGAAAAAAAACAATCTGTTTTTAAATTTTTTTCCCCCAACCATCGCCTTTTTTGATGTTGATATTCCTGTGACGTACGGTCTATAAAGGAAGAAGATGGAATGGAAAGTCTTCTCGGATCCTATGACTGTGCGAGATTTGGAACGATGTTAGGTTACCATATGCTGAGAATTATTTATGTTGTAACACACAGCAGTCGATGCTTGTTGCCCATCTGCTATACCTCCAGAAGTTAGTGAAATACATCTTTTAAAGAAATCTGCCAGTTTTTTTTTCTGTGATTTTAGGTAAACAAAAAGATGGGTCAAACTAGAAAACTTCAAAGAACCCCTTCCTACTCACCCATTCTTTGTCCCCGGGAACCACAATCCCATAATAAAATTAATAATAATAATATATCCAACAGAGAAGAGACGGGCTACATGTTTGTATTGCTAACGTTAGATTGTTCCTTTAAAATCAGAGGCTCACAAGGACAGCGTAAAGGTCATATCAACACTTTGTAATGTGGTCATTAGCAGCTTATTTTGCAAGTTATGCAATAAAAGAGCAACATAGTCACTAAAGTTCACAAAGTTCTACTTTAATATG